GGATCTGTTGCAGCACAGCAGACAGGTCGCTGGAGTGGTTGAGGAGCAGCCAGGGCAGGCTGCGGTAGCTGTACGTGGCCAGAGCCACCTGCAAGGGTGCAGAGGAGCAGTGGGCACCGTGGTCTGCCCATGCCCCCTGTGCTCCCACCGCTGCAGCAGCCTCCTTCCTACCTGGGTGCCTTCAGGGCCCAGGCGCCCCAGGGCAGACACAGTGTTGGAGAGGAGGGTACGGACAGCATCAGCTCCCGAGGAGCTGTCCCGGGTGCCATGCACCAGAAAGACAATGTCACCGCGGGCATCCCTGCAGACTGTGGGCAGGGAAGGGGTGAAGCCACCATCAGAGGGGAAACAAGCCCAGCTTGTCCCTCCAGTGACCCCAAAATACCTGTGCGCTCACTGATGGATACCTCGGTGCCTGGTGCACTCCCCAGGAGCGGGCGGAGGGTAAAGCTGTAGCGCTGGCCCAGGCGCAGCCCAGAGACCTGCTGGGATCTGGCAGAACTGGGCAGCGTCCGGCCCTTCTCCCCACCAGCTGCCACCCAGGGGGACAGTCAGGGGGTCAGCAAGCCCCTGAGGGACTGCAGTCCCCCATCCTAGGGCCACTCACCTGCAGGAGGATTCCAGGAGAGGACGTAGCCAGAGGCACTGGGGACAGGTGTCCAGGTGAGTGTCACCGAATCTCTCCGCACCTCTGTCACCCGCAGGCTGGTGATGTGGCACGCTGCCAAGGAGGAGAAAAGGGTGCCCCAGCCCCAAGGGGCAGCCCCCAACCCGCTCTCAGCACCCCACCCATCGCTCTCCCCAGCCCAAGGCTGGGACAGCCCAGACTCCAGATGTCCCTCTGGCCTTAAGTGAAGTGTCGGGGGCCAATGCCACCTTGGCCCCTGGCAGTCCCTTACCGGTGATGGCAGTGACGGTGGCTGGCTCGCTCTCCCGGCTGCCAGCCAGGCTGGTGATGCTGATGTGGTAGCGCTGGCCTGGCTCCAGCCCCCCCAGGTCATAGGAGCTGGAGGTGGCTGGGAGCTGCTGGCTGCGCTGAGAGGCAGAGAGGGGTGAGAGGGTGCAGGTGGGACCTAACTGGCAGAGATCAGAGGTGCCAGCTGACCCAGCTCACCTTCAGCCAGGCGCCAGACCAGGCGGTACCCACTGCTGCCAGCCGCTGGCACCCAGGCCAGGCGCAGGCGATGCTCCGAGGCCTCTGTCACCTGGAAGTTGCTGACGGGGGGCAGTGGGACTGCCTCCGCTGTGGGACAGAGGAGCAGTTGTTATGTGAAGGTGTGCCCAGTGCCACCCCAGGGTGCTGTCCCCTGCCCCAGAACTCACGGGTTGTGACGACAATGGAGACAGGGTTGCCCTCCCGGTTGCCAATGAGTGCCGTCACCTTCACAGTGTAGGAGACACCTCCCTCCAGGTCAGGGATGTCAAAGGAGCTGGTGTGGCCAGGAACCCGCCAGCTGTTCTCTGGGCCCCCTGCCAAGGACTATAGAGTCAGTCCCCTGCCCTGTAGCACTCACAGTCTGCCCCCATTCCTGTCCCACGTTACCATCCCTGCGGCTCCACACTACGCGGTAGGCAGTGGCTCCTGGCACACCAACCCAGGTGACGCGGGCAACGTTGCTTTTGGATGCCTGCACTTCCAGCTGGGTCACCGTTCCCACCTGCTCAGGCGCTGTGACACCAAGTGAGCCACTGTCACCCAGGTGCACAGCAAGTGGTAGCAGACAGCACTGACGGGCAAGGGGACACCTCACCTATCCGTCCTGTGGCAGTGACAGGGCTGCCCTCACGGCCATCCACAATGGCTGAGACACCAACAGTGTAGACGATGCCAGCGCGCAGCCCCTCAATGGTGAAGGCAGTGGGGTTGGCAGGGAGGAAGTGGGATTGCTTCAGACCTAAGAGAAATGGCAGGGATAGGAAGGGCTCTGGCACTGCCACCACAGCATCCCACAATCCGCACACTTACCGTCGCTGCCTCGCCACGTCAGCAGGTAGCCCCCAGCACCTGGCAGCCCTCGCCAGGTGACCCGCAACTGGTTGGGACCGGCTTCCATCACCTGCAGCTCCGAGATGCTGCCCACTGCTGGGTACTCTGCACCATCCCATGGCACCACAGCATTATCTTGGGGAGTCCAGAGGGACCCCACAGCCACTCTGCCACCCCAAGGGATTGCAGGGGGATAGAGGACAAATGCATGCCAGAGTGGGAAAAAGCAGTATCAGGACTTCTGGTGCCAAACCCCAACATGGACTTACTGAGGTGAACCGTGAGCGTGTCAGCACTGCCCTCCCGGCTGCCCACTAGTGCTGAGACACGCACCAGGTAGGCAATGCCCTCCCGGAGGTCACCCAGCTCCAGCCCCGTCTTGCTGCCTGGGATGCGCCTTGTCCTCTCCGTGCCATCTGTCAGGAGTGGGACAGGGTGGACTCTCAGTGCTGGCTGGCCAGTGCCCCCATGTAACCCATGCCCTGCCCACAGACTCACCCTGGTTGTTGCGCACCACCACCTTGTACTCAGTGGCACCGGGGACAGCAGTCCAGCTCAGCCTCACCCACCTGCCCGATTCCTCCACGAGCCGCAGGTCTGACACAGCACCCACGGGCACCTCCACACCTGCGAGGGGACACATGAGGCACGGCTGGACTGTGCAGCCTGGACAGCACAGCCCCCATACTCATCCTGGGCCATGACCAGGCACCCGGGGGGGTCTCAGGGCCAAGGCAGTTGGTCCCCAGGCTGAGCAATGCCATGTAGGACATCCCTCCATCAAAATGCCTTGGGGTGGTGGGGGACAACCCAGGAGACTCACAGCAGCACTCACCTGTCTGGAAGGTGGTGACTGGGGTGGCCACCTCCCTGCCATCATAGAGCGTGTAGAGGGTGATGCGGTACTTGGTGCCTGGATTCAGCCCTGTCAGCTGGTAAGTATTGGTGCTGCTGGGAAGAGACACGGTTCTGGGGGGCTCCGGTCCTGTGGGGAGGGAAGGGTCACCACCAGCTGCTGACATGGAGGGTCTGTGGGGGCAACAGGCACCCCAAGCCCACCTGTGGCCCTCTTCCACTCCAGGCGGTAGCCATGGGCATCATGGGCACTGGTCCAGAGCACCTGGATGGATGTGGGGCTCAGGATGTTGGTCTGTAGCATCTGGTCTGTACCTGCCTCTGCAAGAGAGATCCCATGGGCCAGGCTACTCTGTGCCACTCTGCTGCCAGCCACCCACCCAAGCATGCCTCAGATCCCCACACACAGTAGGGCAGGGAGCATGTGGGGCCGTGAGGGATGGTCTCCAGCTTGTCCTGGGGCCAACAGCAGGATGGCATCACCCATACCCAACACCTACCCGTCCTCTGCCGCACAGTGGCTGTGGGACCCTCCAGCTGCCCATAGAGTGGGGCCACCGTCACCACGTAGTCGGTGTTGGACTGCAGCCCCACCAGCGCATGCGATGACCGCCCTGCATCCAGGTCCACCCTGTGCCTGTCCTGCCCTGTGAAAGCCAGTGCAGCACTCTCTAATGGGTTTTAGGGAGTGGGTGCCACCAGCCCCTCCTGTCCCTCTTCCCAGAGGCCTCCAGCAGAAAGGGCACAAGCTCTGAGATGGGCACCTACCTGTGAGGGTCGCCCAGGACAGCCGGTAGCCGACAGGCTGCCAGGCCAGCAGCATGCTCTGTGCTGAGATGTTGTGAGCAGCCACATGTTGCACACCCACCAGGCGCCCTGCAAGGAGAGAGATGCCATCCATTCCCTACTTGGGAATGGGGCAGGGGGCAGCAGGAAGCTCCTTTGCCTGCAAACTTCCTGCTCTGGGGGTGAGAAGCCTCCTTGCCCCTGCTCACAAATTCTGAACTGCATTGAGGCCACTGAGTGCAGCCCGCGCCCAGGCGGCTCCTTCAAAGCACAACACTCCTGCAAACTGGAGCTCAAACGCCTTCCTCTTAATGCCTTAAATATTTTCTGTGGGTTAAGACTGCCTGGAGCAGCTGAAGGAATGGGTTTGCCAAAATTTGAGGTTTGCAGGGCCTCACCCCCACTCCTACTTGGAGATGCTTTCCACCACCCTCTTCCCCGGTGGAAACCACAGTTTCCCCCCGCAGAGCACTGTGCTCAAATCTTACAAAAAAAGCCCTGCATTTTTTCAGTCAACATTTTTATGTCTTGTGAGGAAAGCTTTGGTGGAAACACTTCCAGAAGGCTGCAAAGGAAATTGGGAGCACACAGTGCTGCATCCCCCCCAGAAGCATTTTTTGGGGCTTAGAGCATCATTGTAGCCATGTCTACCCCATCTCCATCCCACTCACCCACCCCTACCGGACCGGGCAGCAATAGGCCCCCCCCATGGGGCATGGTGACTGGAGGGGCACCCTCTGCTGGGAACCAACCCATCCCTGCCCCTGTTTGAGCCTTGGGCTGGGCACAGTGCTTACGTGTCCGTGCGGTGAGGGTGGCAGGGATAGCAGGCTGCTGTGCATAGCGGGGTCGGAGCATCACCACGTACTCCGTGTCAGGGCTCAGGTTGCCGAGTGTGGCTGAGTGTGCACTGGCCCCCAGGCTCTTCTCCTCCCCCTGGGCTGCTCCTGGAGAAGTGGCAGAGGGGTGCAGGTGGGCACAGGGACACAGTATGCACCGGGCCCGGCAGTGAAAGGGTGTCTGTGGGCTGGCACCGTGCCCTGCAGATGCCAGTCAGTGCCAGGGGTGGGGAGCACCGGGAGAGGCTGGGACATGGGCCAGGGCAGGGGCACCCCCTGGAGTGCCTGGGGCAAGGGTGGAGCTGCCAGGTGTGCGGCTCCAGCCCAGCCCCTGGCTGGGCCGGGGATCTGTTGCCTGCCCCCCACATGCAGCAGCCATGGGGGCAGACCTGTTCCTGTGCTCCCAGCTCTGAGCTGGGCACACACCAGGCTCCAGGCCACCACGCACACCCAAGCACACACCCTGAGCCTTGCTCATGAAGCCTCCAGGTGTAGGAATACACACGCTGCCTCCACATGTCTGCACACTCGCGTGCCCCACAGCCTGAACACGCGTGCCGGCTGCCACACTGAAGGCAGGTGTGCACACACCCACAGTGCTCTGGGCATGCATCAACCCCCACCCCAGCACTCTTCATGCCCACAGGGCTGTGTGAAGGCAGAAAATCCAGGCAGTACTGACCATTGCAGGGACCATCCCCTCACCTTGCACAGTGTAGCTGAGGCTGTATCCCTGGAGGTGCTCGGGGCCAGGCTGCCAGGCCAGCCGCAGGAAGGTTGGTCCAGTCTCCACCACACGAAAATCCAGCGTGGAGCTAGAATGGCTTTCTAGGTGCACACAGAGGCAGGGATGAGCCCCCAGCCTCAAGTGCTGTAGGCACCCAGTGCCTGCACAGCCCCCTGTCTCCATGGGCATGGACACTTACGGGTGCGTGCTCGGCCAGACACTGACTCGCCGCCATACTGGGCCAGTGACCAGGTACTCTGTCCCCACACGCAGTCCCCGTAGAACAGTGCTGGTCTCCTGTGGCCCCAGGCTTACCTGGGCAGGGACAGTGTTACCCCCTCGCTGTCCACACCAGGGACCCCCAGGACCTCTGAGCAGGCAGGTGGGAGCACTCACCTCCTGCCTCTCTGCCATGATGGGCTGCCCCAGCCCGGTCAGCGGCACACGCTCAGGTACTCTGTCCCCACACGCAGTCCCCGTAGAACAGTGCTGGTCTCCTGTGGCCCCAGGCTTACCTGGGCAGGGACAGTGTTACCCCCTCGCTGTCCACACCAGGGACCCCCAGGACCTCTGAGCAGGCAGGTGGGAGCACTCACCTCCTGCCTCTCTGCCATGATGGGCTGCCCCAGCCCGGTCAGCGGCACACGCT